TAATAAAAAAAAGGATTAAAAAAAGGTTTTTAAATTGTAAAAAAGTAATAATAATAATAAAAACATGTAAAAGAAAGTGATGACCATAATTAGAATAATCAAAATGTACAAACAAGATTTAAAAAATGGTTAAAAAAAAAGAGTTAATAAAATTACTTGGATATTTTCAATTTATTTTTTATGAATATTGTATTTATATATTGTATTCCTTAGTTATACCTAAATCTTTATTTTGATTATTAATTTGATTATTTTGGTGTTTCTGTATTTATTGCACATATTATTATATTTCATTTATTGATATATAAGTTTAATAAAAATATAATAGATATATTTTTAACAAAGCTTATCCTTCATAATTTATATTTTTAAATTAATATTCTCTGTAATGTTTTAAAGATTTTGTTTTATATAAACTTCACTGCGTTTAATCACTTTTTGTTTTTGTTCCATCACTTCCATAAATTTTTCCATAGATTCTGTTATATTAATCATTATTTATTTAATTTTAAAAATTTCAATTTCTGACTTCTGTTTCAGTTAGTGCTCATTCAGTGGATGTTTTCTGACTCAGATGTCGTTAAGGTTTGGAAATTGACTGGAAAAAAAAGAATATGTGAATAATAATGAGTATTCTCACCACGCTGTCCCTTCTCCTTGTCTCCTTGTCTCTTTGTCTCTGTGTCTCTTTTTCTTCTGTCTCTTATTGCTGGTGCTTTCTTGCTGTTTGGTCGTTGGACGGAGAGTTCTGTCGCTCTGACGATTCTGCTCACTTTTGTACTCTGTCGGCCAAGGACACACACACACACACACACACACACACACACACACAAAATCAATGAACTATCACCCCCCACACACACATGCAGACTCTCCACCATGACGTCCTTGTGACTCCAGACTCTGATCACTCAATCATGTCCAGTTTTTGTCTCGTTGCCACATCAGGACAAAGATTTATGATTTGAAGTGTATTCTACATTTTTGAATAAACAGACTTTATGATGTCATGTTTATCTGCTGTGTGTGTTTCCAGCCTTTATCGGGACAACAGATTCAGTTAAGACAAATAAAAAAGCAACAGAGTCGTCCTTTAAGCCGTCCATCCGCTGAGAGGGTCATAAGGACAGAGGGATGTCGTATGCTGTAAAGCCCTGTGAGGCAAATTGTGATTTGTGATATTGGGCTTTATAAATAAAACTGAATTGAATTGAATTAAGCGAGCTTCAGACTGTACCACGTCTTCCCAGGATGAAGGTCCACTGTATGAACCTCCGTTTACCGCTGCGGTGTTAAATATCAGCCGGCAGGTTTGGCAGATTAACACAGAACTGACATGTCGTCACCAGAGGGGAGACGGATTGAGACGCGCAGGTGGAGGTGTACAGTTACACACTCACACACCTGCTGCAGTTTCTTGCCTTTGTCTTAAGTCTCAGGGTTTTATCTTAGAAAACGAACGGCCGGGGACACGTGGAGAATGTTACGACCACCTGGGTACTCTGTAAGACTCAACGGCAATAGTCTCTGAGGCTCTAAGACCACCTGGATCCACCTTGAGGCTCTGTGTCCATTAGACTATCCAAACTGTCTTGTCTTGTCCTGTCGTTCCTTGTCTTATATCCTGTCTTGATGTGTTGTGTCAGGGTTTGTCTTATTAACTGTCTTGTCTTGTAGTGTCTTGCTGTGTCTTGTCTGTGTGTTGCACCTGTCTCCTCCAAGTGAACCCTGAATAACCTTCTCTGTAGAGTCCTGGCCCTAACAGAGCACACGATCTTCATAGCCACATCCATCACTTCTTTCATGTTTAAAATCTTCCCACACAATGCTTGCTGGTGAATTATACAATGATAATTAAGCATGTCTGGGAAAGATTCACTTTGTTTGCACTGTGCAATGAACCCACTAGTGTGGCCTACCATCGCTGGAGCACCATCAGTTGTGATGGAGGTGAGCTTGAAGAGAGGCAGTTGGCTCTTGTTAACAAACTCCATGAAAGCGTTGAAAACATCTTTGTCTCTTGTATGTCCTTTCAGTGGCAAAATTGTGAGTAGCTCTTTTTTTTTTTTTTTTTTTT